TTTTCTCATGCATGTCGATATTAACCTAAATTACAACAAATTTGCGCAGAAACGATAAGTAAATTAATCATAATTTGAACAAAAATGAACTAATTTGCGATAACACCTGATTATGATGAAATTGGACTGAAAACACTAAAATTGAACTTTGAATTACTCGAATTCAAGTTCTGCTACTTCAATTCCAAATTTCGGGTGAATTAAAATTTGCGGGTGGGTGAAAAAACTACAAACCACCAAAACAACCACCCACACTAACTACTAAATGTAGGAAATATGACTAATAGCAATTAATAATAGAACAAACTTATCTAATTTAATGTCGTGGCGTGACATAGCATCACTGCCCTAAAGTCGAATTTTCCCCGTACTCGTACACACGGACTCATAGCAATCGACCTCCAGGGTTACACGACTCTAACTCTCCGGTGTACTTCAAAGTGCTAGATTGAGAACACAATGATCAATGCCCAAAACAAGAAATTACTTTGTGTAACATTTTTGGAGTAAAGAAGAGAAGTATATCTTTTTAATTGTGTATATCCCTTGTAAAGTGGAGGATGCTTCAATTTATTGTGGAGTAGTATGTAATCTTTTGTGTGTCCAAAAAGAAGTGGAGGAGCTTCATTTATATAGAAGTTTCACTAAGCTCAAGTCAAAAGAAGGGAATTAATATTTCACAGCAACCATGCATAAGAAATCAATCAAAAACCCTTTAATTATGCATGTATACTAATTAGTCTTCCATCTATGTATTAAACGGCTAGAGAGGAGGAAATATATGATGATCAAAGTCAACTAATTGCCATAATCATGGTATCAATCAAGCAAATTTGAATTTTGATCTTTTGAAGCAAAATCAATGAACCTAGACTTGGAGTTGTACTATGGGAATAAGTGAATAACTCCAACAGTTAGATGATACTTCATAACGAATGTTAACTAATGCATGTTGATAAAATTTGGGTGATTATGAAGTTTATTTTATGGGGATAACAAATCAAATTATTTGTTGATGTTTTGGCTTACAAATCAAATTATTTCTATTTTTATTTTTATTTTTTTCAATTAAGTTTTTTTTTTTATTTCTGTTTTGTTTATTTAATTGCTAATTTAAAGTTTTTTTACTATATTTCTTTTATAATTGTGTGCTAATTTTGGATGTCTTGGAAAATTTTTCAGGATAAAAAGTGTAACGGGAGAAGATTAATGATTTAGCTTGTTGAATTGTTTGGTTGGTGTGAGATTGCTGCACAAAATATGCTTAGAAGAATAGAAGGCCTTGATTGTAGAGTTTTGTATAATTTTGAAAGAATATTGATTGTAGTATTATTAAGTTTTTTTTTATTTTTTTTTTAAGACTAGTATTATTGAGTTTTGTTAGTATTAGTTTTGGTATAGTATTTTCATACAAGTATAAACTCTGTGTATAATTTTTAGTAAGTATTAAAATATGAATATTTTTTTTTGAGTCCATCTATTTGGAATTGGTGGTTTCACATTTTCAAGAACTGAGACCATATCTATTTTAAATAGGTAGTCTCGATTTTTCAAAAATTGAGACCGCTTATTTAAAGTAGATGGTCTCAATTTTTGAAAAACTAAGACCATCTATTTAAATAAGTGGTCTTAGTTTTTAAAACAAGAGACCACTTTTGATAAAATGGTCTCTTAGGCCAAAGAGATCTGTGAGCTAGAGACCATCCCTAAGGTAGTCTCTTTGGCTATTTTGATATGGTCTCTTTGGCCAATTTTTATAGTAGTGATTGTTTTTTATGAAAAACAATTTCCTTCACATTTTTCTTCCACACCTCACAAAAACTATGCCAATTCATAAATTCTTTCTTCCTGTTATCACTCCTATTTCTCATCCTTCTACAGATGTTCCTGACATTTTTTCTAGATAACAACATGAACATTGATTCTTCTCTTGTTCCTTCTTCGCCTGATGCACTCACTTCTGACCATATTCCTCAAAACAACATCTCTTCTTCAATCCTACCAAATAACTTCAGAAGTTCCAGCTGAGAATAACACTATCAGACAATCTTCTAGAGTCAGCAGATCACCAGCTCATTTCTCTGATTATCTGTCACTAAACATTGGTGCAATTTGGTTTCTTTTAATTCTCTTCCTGAAAACCAGCACGCAGCTGGAAATATGTGTGAATCAATCACTTGTTGAACCAAAAAGTTTTAAAGAAGCACCAGAGGATCCTTCTTGGGGTAGATGCCATGGACAAAGAAGTTTCTACCCTTAACAAGAATAGTACATGGGATATTGTTATACTTCCCAAAGGAAAGAAAGCCATAGGATGTAAGTGGGTTTAGAGAATAAAGAAGAATGCTGATGGGATACAAATCAAGGCTTAGTTTGTTGCAAAGGGTTTTACATAGAAATGTGTAGTTGATTATGAAGAAACTTTTTCTCTAAGTTGTCAAAATGTCAAAAGTCTGGTGTTTGTTTCTCTTGCTGCACAAAATGATTGGAAATTGTTCCAACTTGCTATAAATAATGCTTTTCTACATGGCACTCTTTATGGCACTATTGTGTATAGTAGCAACCCGTTTTGACAAAAGTTGCAACTAATATCCAACGGAGGTAGTATCATAAATTCCTATATGAAGTGTTAGCACATTGGTTTTTTTTTTTTTCACTACTTAAATAAGGGTGCAGTTTGTTGTATAAGATTTCCCAGAATATACTACAACATCAAAGACAAGAGCCCTCGGCAATGGATGGTTAATTATTCCATGTCAATTGCAAACACAAGCCAAGAAAAAATAATGCTAAGCAATAGAGAGGCATTCCTTTATCAGCTCATTAACTCCATGTCAAGTGCAAACACAAGCCAAGAATAACTAAGCCGAAAGTGCTGACCATCCCATGCGTGACGCGCGCTTTGGCTGGCCTATTATTAAAAAAGAAGGAAAGAAAAAAAAAAAACAACCCAGCTACCCCTTCCTCTCTTCACCTCCCTGTGAAAGCCTAAGCTAACCCGCAAAACCACCAATCACCGGCCGACCACCTCCCTAACCCCCCAAAAAATGGCCGATCGACCCTCCCAACCCCAAAAAACACAATGTCGATCCACCTCAACCCCCTAAACCACTTTCCTCCCTTCGCTGGAAAACAAAAAATAAAAAAAATAATAAAAAAAAATATCAATGTCGTTTCTCCTCCCATCCTACACCCTCAAAACCACCCAGGGGGCTGAATTCGGGGGTTAAGGAAAGGAGGAGGGTTGTTTTCGATGGTCCAATCGGTGGTTTGGTAGTGGGAGTTTCAACAGTTGAATTCGGTGGTTTGGGGGTGGGAATGGGCCGGCTAAGGTGGTTTTTATGGTTAGGAAGGGCCTTTCGGCCATTTTCGAGGGTCAGGGGAGACGACCGACCATTTCCAAACAGGTTACGGGGTTGGCCCTAGTGTTTTGCGGTGACGTAAGAGGAGGGGGTGGTGGCTATGAGGGTTATTTTGTTTTTTTACTTTATTTTTTAAAAATTTAGACCAATCACGTGCTAACACGCGTTTTGGTTACCTGTTACAGCAAGCCATTGACTTGGTGTTGACCGAATGGGTCTACTAGAGGCAAACTCAGGGCATAGTTAGGAATTTTTTTAAAAATAAACCTTAGTTATTGTTAGAAGTAACCAGCAATAGTTGTGATTATTAAAGTGTCTTTTTTTAAAAAAAATGCCTTAAAAATGTAATTTTTAAAAATATTAGGGAAATTCTCTCTGGTAATCACAAACTTTTTTTTTTTCTCAGTAGTAAAGGATGAAACTTTTGATTACCAATGGTAATCACGAAATAATATAACTAAGTTAATGGTAACTTTAATGATATTAAAACATCATTAAACAATTAACTAGGGTTAAATAATTATAAATTTACATTAGTACCCTTTAAATTATTTTTTTTAAAAAAAAATCCAAATCTCTCCCTAGCCACCAGCCAACCGCCAGCCCCCTCCCCAAGCCGCCCAGCTTTCTCCCCTCACTTACCACCACCACACCCACATTACTAGCTTCGTCAATTAACCCAAACAACAGTGGCGCGACCACCGCAGTCAACCACCTCCAAATCCGCACCACCAAATCACCATTCAGTTGCAAAACAGCAGCTAACCACCGCAATCACCTCGCCACTATGACTGCAACCACCCCAGCCACCGAATTAACCACCAGCGCCTCCAAATTTGTCCCACAACAGCCTCCGTTGCACTCAGTTTGCAACCGCAAGCTTCAATTTTCAAACCAAAATCAAATATCTTAATCGAACGACTTCAAGATGATGATGATGATGCTCATTTGTGATGGTGAAGAGCAAGGAAAATTAAGGGAGGGAACGAGGGTCTGATTCATTTTGATGGATTTTTGGGGTCAAATATGGTAATTTTGAGTGTGGGTTTAAGATGTTTTCGAGGAAGGTGGTGGGTTTTTTCTGGTCGGGTTTCGACGGGGAAAACAATACCGAGGTAAGGGCAGGGGATGTAGGGAAGGGTGGTGGGCAGGGGCGAGTATGCGGGAAGGGAGGTGATGTAATGCCCCGTATTTTTAAGCCGTTTACTAATTATTAATTATGGATTTTTCCGAAATATGTTATTATACAAAAAATATCTATTTAAGTCCATATATGATTTTACAAAGATATAATTACGCTTTATAATTATATGAGTTAACTCAAAGTTGTCGGAATTTCAACCTCCAGTATTTTGCTTCCGAGTCAAACTAACAAGTACCAAATTATTCCTCCTTCCGTAATCAAAATCAACCCTTATATTAATACTACTCATATTCACAACATTTATTAGGCCGACTGCATTTATTGGGTCAGCAGCATTTATTAGGCCAGATGCATTTATTAGGCCAACAACATTTATTAGGTTGGCTGCATTAATTGGGTTGGCAGCATTTATGAAATCGGTTGGAATAGTACCTGAGTTGGGGCTATAAATAGTCATGGAACATGAGCTATTTTCATCACATCTCCTACTTCTCTTCTTACTTTCCTTTTCCTTTCTCCTTCCTCCCCCATACTCACCTCCTTTTAGCTTTCATTTGTGGTCTTGAGCTCCTCACGAGCACCTCCTCGCTGCCACCATACCGCCGCCATTCTACCACCACCTTGTTGCCATCCCCTTCCTTGCGTTGCTCACCGTACGTAAGCCATATATTTCTCATTTTAGTACTACTACTAAGTACTACTAATATTACTACTACTACTCTCAACTACTATTACTACTACTACTCACATGTTACGTACTACAACTACTACTTCCTATTATTATTATTATTATTATTATTATTATTATTGTTATTATTGTTATTATTACTATTATTATAATTGTTGTTGTTAGTATTATAGTTGTTGCTGTTTATATGTTTGCTACTACTACTACTACTACTACTACTACTACTATTATTATTAGCTAGCAACAACTAACTACTTACATATATAAGTCATATATTACTACGTATATATGATACTACAACTTCTACTTTTATAATTATTACAATTAATGTTATTATAATTATTATTATCGTTATTATTATTTATTTTATAAAAACAAGTGTTAATTTTATAAAAGGGTTATGATGATAAATTGTTCATGCACAACTAGTCAAAGTCGATAGTCTAAGTCCTTGTGTCTATGGGTTGAAAAGTATTTGATTAGGATTATTGGTTTGTTATAGGAGGAATTTCGGGTTCGAAATTAGGAGCTCCGTAATTGTGTTCAAAGATCAAGGTACGTACACGTGGCTAGATCTTTAAGAAAGTGGTTTTTATATGCAACGTGTTTTACATGTTAAGTGATTTCGAACCATGTTTAAATAATTGAGAAATATATTTCGGTGAAGCATGTTTTAATCGTTTAAATTTCAAATGTTAAAATATTTTATATGGTTGATTATAAACTTATTGCATTGATATTCAAGGAAGTTTTATTGTTTTAATTTATCCTGAGTATGGGATATTGGAAAGTTTATTTATCAGGATTTATCCTTAGTATGGGATATTGGAAAGTTTATTTATCAGGATTTATCCTTTGGATCTTTGGATTTTTAACTCCCACTATGCGGAGCAAGTTGAAGACTATGGATTTTGTATGACCTAGTCTTTCCCCTTGATAGCGCTATATAAAGGAGTTACTAGCTTGGGGGGTGTGCACACTTAGATGAGAAAATGATTTATGAAAATATAGATTGATCCATCCTATTCGGAATTATCTTTGGAAAGTTGGTTATTTCGGAAATTGGTTCTTTTGACAAGTTTTTATACATGAATTTCTATACAGGAATGGTTTGGATAAATTATGATTTATTAAAGTTAAATCCCTTCGAAAGCATGTTTAATTAATTAAATTGATTTTACATGTCTAGCATTTGTATATACTTAGCATTTTGGCTAATACGTATTTGTTTTGTTTTGGCTTGGCCCTACTTATCATTTTGATAAGTAGATAGGTGATGGCGATCGGACAACATGAACTATATGCTGCATTGGGAATGATGAGCGGTGATCACCTAGTTTAATTTAGTATACATAGTATTAGTGGTGTAGCAACTTTGAAAGTGTATCGAACTATTATTATTACTATTATTATTAATGAAAGATAAGTACTATTTTCCGCTGCAAAACTCTGTTAAGCCGTACGTAATCACGTGGCGGTAATACTCCCATGTTACTCCCTAAAGTTGGATTATTATTGTAAATATTAGAGAGTAATTTGGGGGTGTTACAGGTGAGGAAGCACCGGGGGTGCTCGGCAGCGGCGCAAGTGGCTGGAAGGGGGTTTCAGCGGTGAGTAGGGGTGTACACCGGTCCAAAACCGGACCGGACCTGGACCGGACCTGTTTGGACCGGGGACCTGAATTGGGTAATTATGAGGACCGGGGACCGGACCTGAATTAACAGGTCCGGTTCCGGGCCAGTCCTGAAAAATCAGGTCCGGTCCGGGTTTGGACCTGAATGGACCTGTTTTGTGTCTTTTTCGTTTTTTTTTTTTTTAATACAAAACCTGTTGGACCTGCATATGGACCTGTTTTGTGATTTTTAGACCTGTTGCATAATTTAATAATTACATACAAACCAAAAATACCAAAAATACTTGTGTCCACCGAAAACTACATAAAGTCTATAAAGTCCCGATTCTCAAACACCAAAAATACAAATGAGTCCACCGAAAATACAAATAAGTCCACGAAAACTCATAAAATTACATAAATTCTCTTAAGTCATTAAGGTATTTGTGGCCCATATCTTCCATACTTTCAATTTGGGTTTCTGGCAGGAAGCCCTGAGGCATCCATAGTAAGACAACTTCCATCTCTTTGAACTTGTAATCTTTTGGAAACACAGAACAATAAGCAAAGACACGCTTCAAATGATATGGCATATGATGGTAACTCAGCCTGAGAACAGGTAAAACACTGCTCTTCTTCTTCTTCTTCTTCTGTAAAAGACTCCTTATTCAATCTTTTTTTTTTTTTTTTTACAAAAACTAGTATCTAATATTCTAACTAGTATTATGGCAATTAGGGAGAAAAGTAAAATTAGCAAGGTAGCAGCACAAACCATATTGTCTAGAATCCCTTGGTGAGAGTGATCATCTTGATCTTGATCTTGATCTTCCTCCGCCTTTTCCAACTCGTAACGCTGGGCTTCAATTGCGAAATGATCCAAGATATCCTCCATGTCGTAAGCTAAATCTTGGAGATCATTTAGCCATAACTTGACAGGTTTGCTGCGAAACTGCTGCAGCTCAGCATCCTCCAACAGAGCTTCCAACACAGTAAGTTGCGTTTTCCATTTATTGATAGTTTTGGGCAGATCAAATCCGCCAATCAGCTTCAAGAACTTCTTCCCTCCAGTTTACAGCATCTGCTCAAACAACACCTGCAGAAATGCTGACAGAAATGTCTCACCAATGGCCATCCTTGATCAAATCAGCTACTCAGATATGAGAATTTGTTTATTTTGTGCTCTAGGTGTAATAGAGTTGGCCATAAGCAGATACTTTCTCTTTGAATCCTTATATGTCTGTTCCTTTTTTGGTTGACAAGAGTGGGTTATGTAAGTCTGCTATATTGCTTGCCCAGAATCTCTCAAACATGAATATTGGCCTAAAGAGAACTGAAAAATTTAGAACAACCACAGTGAATCTCAAGAGTTTTTTCAAAACCATCGACCCACCTCAACCCCAGAACATTCAATCCAACAAAAGACCCCGTGAGTTTGCTACTCCATCCTTCTCACCTTTGAAAAGGAGGAAATCACAATCGGAACCAACAGTACACATTTAACCTTGCTCCAAATGAATCGAGCCAAACACCAATCCAACCCAATTTCTCAATCCACAAAAAACCCCTACACGCTCCGAAACAGAACCAACATTGCCCTGACTCCTTTCAACCACTCCAAAACCCCCTCCAATCCAAAACACCACCCAGCCACCCCGAAAACCCATCTCCACTCTCGGTGACCCTACCAGCCACCACGAAAACCCCATCTCCACTCCCGACAACCCCATCAACATTCACAATTTTCCATCCAGCCATCCCAAAAACCCCAGCTCACCACCCCAACCCACCCCACCCCACCCCACTGCCACCCCTTAACCCTTAACCCCCACACACCAGAACCGTACCACCGTAACCCCACCATAACCCCACCCCAACCCACCCTACCACACAAATTTTCGCACTAAATTAATCTTAATAATCATAATAAACACAAAATTTCGAACTAAATTTCGCACTTGAACCCTAAACCCTAAACTTCTTAATTCTTATGAACCCTAAACTCAAAAAAACCAAAAAAAAAAAACAGAAATTCGAAAGAGATGAACTAAAAATAAGAAATTCAACATGCAAACATCAAACAATCATTAAAAGCAAATGAAAATTTAAAACAAGAATAAACATATAAATTCTCACACTTAATTTATTATTTCGAATTAAAAATACCAAAATTATAAGCAAATACTTACCAGATATTATCGGTGTGCATCGCCTGAGAGAATGAGGGAGGTGTCGGCAGTGGGCGGTGGCCAGAGCGAGTTGGGACAGCCGGACAGCCGCGTTGAGAAGTTGAGATTGAGGGAGGCTGAGAGTTTGGGCTTAGGGAGTTAGGGTTAGAACTTAAAAATATGAAAGAGATTGAGGGAGGCTGAGAGAATCAGATTTTTTTTTTTTTTTTTTTTTTTTACCGGGTTTCAGGTCCGGACCTGAAAACCCCGGGTGTGGACCGGGTCCGGACCGGGACCGGGAACCCGGATTTTTAAGAACCGGGACCGGACCTGAATCAACAGGTCCGGGTCAGGTCCGGTCCGGTTCAGGTCGGTTCAGGTCCGGTTTCAGGTCCGGGCCAATTTTTGTACACCCCTAGCGGTGAGAAAGGAAGATGAAAGGGGAAAGAGATCGAAAGGAAGAAGAAAGGGGGTTAGGGGTAATTAAATGGGGGTAGTTGTGTCTTTTTGCACTTTAATTGCTAAACCATGGTCAAAAAATTGACAAATTATTTAAGTTAAGTTATCATTGACTTAGTTATATTATTTCGTGATTACCATTTGTTTAGGGTATTTTTACCGTAGACACGTGGACCAGTGAGAGGTTGCCACGTGTCAAGCTCAGGATGGCCCATGTGGCTCAACATCCTCTTGACACTTGGCGCCCTCAGATATGCCTCTGAAATGGTGGCCTTCAAGGGCCCAAATCCCTAGGAGCGCCGTAAAACGGCGTAGCCCACTAAAATCTAGGTCAAATGACCTAGATAGCGGCACATTCTCCAATGACCTATAAATAGGGAGATATTCCCCCACTTTGGGGACGGATTCAATCATTTATTACACCTTTATTCTCTTACATCAGAGAAAGATCTGAGCTTGGAATCCGAACAGATACCCACCTAAATTTCCGTTCTCTTTATTCCGTTTCAAGTTACTAACTTGACCGTCGGAGGCGGAGCTCCAACCACCTGGAGTCTCCGTTATTTTGCAGGTACAGCTCAGCCAGATCAGACTTCGTGACGTAACTCTCCCAAGGGACAAAAACACCCAAAACATTTGGCGCCGTCTGTGGGGAGAGTACCTCGAAGATGGTTCAAGAGTCTGTACCACCCCCTAACCGTCTGGGCGATGACCTAGAAGTCTTTACAGACCAGGAGGATGAGGATCCTCAGGTCAAAACCTTTACAGCCGATGATGGCTCGCTCAGAATCAAGAGCATCCGGCCCAGAGATATTCTGGAGCGGGGTGCCTCCCAGGCGGGTCCAAGCCGACCCACTGGGCAGCCGGAAGGGGAAACCCAAACGGCCGCTGGATCAGCCCTTGTCACCCGAGACGAACTCATCAGATTCATGACAAGTTTCAAGGGTGAAATTAAAGAGTTGATCACCAAAAGCCGGGCTGGCCAAATTAAAGGTCAGTCGGCGAAGAAGACTCCTCCAGAGAAGGGGAAGTCAGTCAGAGACCGGCAGCCCACTCCTCATCCAAAGGAGAAGGCAGTCGGGACCATTTATTGGTAAAAAATTCTCCTTCCTAGGAAGAACACCAATAACACTCGCCGGACTCAGCAGCCGGTGAGAAGTAAAAAACCAACTCTTGATGCCCGGGAGATCATAAACCGGAAGAGAAACCAATCGCTGTCTGAATCGGCTTCAACGTCAAACTTTCCACACAACTTCAACAACATTTCTGCAGGGAGTGCACCCTCCTTGCATGAGAGCCAGACAGGCGGTAATACCGTCCATTCTGGCCCTCACATGATTGGAGTTGTACCGTATGTGCCTACTCAGGCTTACGGACAGTATCCCCCTCACTTCATGCAGCCGGCCTTCTTTGGAGGTCAGGCGGCATATCCAAATGTCCAGCCATTGGACTGGCAGCTTCGTCTGCTGCGCCTGGGTGAACAACCTTCTGCGTTCACCCGGGAGATAACCGAGGCGGCCCAGCCGGCCAAGGTTAAGAATGTATTGGTTGGTACCTATGATGGTACCACCAATCCGGAAGACCACCTCATGGCTTACACCAACCTCATGTATCTACAGGGGTTGGATGATGCCACTTGGCGTCGATGTTTCCCGACTACATTGAAGGGCATTGCCCAACAATGGTTTGGTAATCTGCCAGCCGGGTCCATCGATAGCTTCAGGAAGCTAGCCTTCCGGTTTGCTTCCAACTTCTCAATGAACATCCCTGCTAAGAAAACAAGCCTTGATTTGAGCACTGTTAAGCAGGGAGAGAGAGAAGGGTTGCGCTCATATGTCAGGCGGTTCAATCTGATCAGAATTCAAATTCAAGGACTGTCTGATGAGGTAGCTTTTACAGACTTTTTCAAAGGTCTGAGAGACGGGTCGACCTTTAAATTCGACCTAGTCAGAAAAGGGGCTTTCACCCTATAGGCGGCCCTGAGGGAGGTGGAAAGCTACATTCAAGCTACCGACCTCTGCTCGCCTGGTAGCCAGTCGGACTCTAAGAAGTCCGACAAGCAGAAAGACAACCGGCCTGCTCAGCCGGCTAAAAAGAAAGAAGAGAGAAAAAAGAGAAAAGAAATTTGGGCGGTTAGTGATTCTGACCAGCCGTCCCAAAAGAAGAAGAAAGAGTTTAAACCGTACGTCCCCAAGT